TCCCCATAACCTGAGACAGGCTCTTATTTGGGATTCCTGGATGATGCTCATGTACAAATGATATCTGTATTACTCAGCAAATGCCTCTGGACCACAAAGGCACAGAAGGAGAATAATGAATTCCACCAGCCAAGCAAGCAGATACCAGCATTTCCATTTGTGTTTGCGACAGTGCAGGTTGTTGTCTAGTGCTGCAGTACCAAAGTGTGCTGCTTAATACAGTGCTCCTTGCCCCTGACCTGCCCATCTCTCTCTGCTTCAAATCCCTTTTCCCCAGCAGCAAGCCTGGGCTCTAAACTGGAACAGACATGGATCTGAACTCTTCCAAAGGTCAGCACTGCTTGGCTCAACTAATAGGCATCTGAAGTAAACATCTAGGAATATGATGCTTGTGTTATCACGTTATGAGAAGTTGCCAGTGGATCACATAGAGCTCACCAGGCTCTGCATCTTCACTGCATAAAAGCATTGAGGTTCAATTACATCTGGACAACCCCAAAGGGAGAGCTCTGGTGTTTGGTCACATCTCTGCCTCTCTCAGCCCCTGCTCTGAGCATTCATCCCCTTGCAGCATCTCTCTGAGTACTCAACCAATCTCCTTTTGCAGCCAAGCATCTCGTAAGAGCAATGAACTGAAATAAGTCCTGTTCTTTTCCCTTCCTTCCTGTAGGAGTTGTAGCTGGTTTGCATTGCTTTGTCCTCCTGTGGAGCAGTGTGGGAAGGGAGGAGGGAAGAGGAAGGCAAGCCTCGGAGCAGTCCTGGGAGATCCCTGTTTCTTGTGTTCAGTGACCTGCCATGCTGGGAAGTGGCTTGAATTTCCCATGCATAGCGTTGGCTGCTACCCCATGAAGCTGGCCATAGGAAGCGGTGCCAAAGAATCACATCAGGCTGATATCCAACACCAGCTGAAGGAGGGAAGAAACCATGGGGCATGTGTTTCCCAGGCACCCAAGAGACCTTCCTTCCCGCACAAGGGCAAGGCACAGGGCTTGGCTTGCCCACTCCAGTGCAATGATTCCCCACCTGAGCTTGTCCTGCTGGCCCTCCAAAAGGAGGGAATGGGGCATTTTGAGGGACTATCCCATTGCAAATGGGGTTTTGAGTACTTGTTGCCTTCTAAGTACCTGGATCCAATAACTGCACCCTGGGTGCAGACATAAGATGAATCCTACCAGTGCCGTCTCAAGAGGGTATCTGAGTCAGCCTGATGCAACAGAGCAACCAATATGGAATTGGCCGGTGACACTGGATGATGCTGGGGATTCTGAGGGTCTCCCCACCTCTTGGAGCAGTGCCTTTTGCAGCAAGGGGATCTGTTCAGCTGGGGCAAGCTAGCAGATCTCACTGGGGATGGTGGGATTGGGGATGGTGCTCGCACGGTGAGGAACCCCTGCCTCTTGAGCATCTCTGAGCTGCAATACCTACACTGAAAGCATTTCCCTTCTCGCTGCTTCATCCCACGCTGGCTGTGGGGGAAGCAGAGCTCTTGGAAAGCATCTCAATATGTGTGGGAGCAGGCGAGGGCTGCTTGCGCTTTCATTGCAAACGGGGGCCAGATCTTCCCAATGCGATAGCTGTGTTCAGGCTGGCAGCCTGGCATTGTTTTCATCATGTCTGGGGGCTGAGCACCCCAATGTTTTCTCTCTCTCCTATTCCTACTGGTGGTTCTCTTCCTCTCTTGCCCAGAGATGCTGGAGAAGGAGTCAGCAAATATCTCCTTGCTCAGTAATTGCAGGTGCAGGGAGCAAGAAGGAAGGTTTTCCCAGCTGTATTTCTCCAGACTCAGAGGCAGGGGGGTTGGACCTGGATGATTTTAAGATCCTTTCCCACCCAAACCATTCTATGATTTCCTTGTGAGCAAGTGTACAGTCCAGATCTCCATCCCCTTGTGCTGGTGAGGAGGTAGCGGTGTCTACATTGCAGACACCAGGCAGGTGAAGACAAGCCTGGACCGTGCACCTATTGAGGCCCCCTTTTCCCCTAACCTCCTGCTTCTGTGCTGAGAAATTAATGTGGATTTTCCTGGCTGTTCCTCTCTGTGTTACTCTGCACAGGGTGAGACAAGCAGACGCAATAAGATGTAGAGCTTTTTACATTAACAAATCCAATCGTGAACTGCTATCAGTTTATTAGGATGATTCAGTGCCCTGCACAGCCTACAGCTCCAGAGCCGCTGAAGCTGGCCAGACACAGCAGCATCCCACTTAATCATGTTTCCTTTCAATGATGGCTTTGGAGGGCTGAACTCTGGGAAGCATTCTGTGTCCCTGACAGGAGATTTGGGCTGAGCTGCAGCCCCACAGAAGGTATGCAGGGAGGAGGCACTGGTCCCTATCTGTGGACCAAAGTGTGGTCAAAGCTGGTGGTGAGTGGAGGGGAGGGATCAGTGTAACCTGGCCGATGCGTTTAAGTGATGAAGATGCCACTTGCACTGATCTGCTGCTTGGGGGGGAGGAAGCCAACACCACGTTGGTGAGCTGGGAGGAAGGAGGAAGAGAGGAAAGGGTGGAGGGAGAGTGGGGGAATGACAGCCTGGTGGTGGGGTAAGCAGGAGGAATCGCATCTGCTTGCACCCTGTCACCGCATGCTGCTGCTGGCGTCACAGCTGAATTTGGCCTGTCGGCAGGAGATGACTATCATTGCCACGGCGCAGGCTGTGAGCGACAGGGGAAGCCTTGCAGCAACTGTGCTTCTCAGCTCCCATTCCCCATGGTGGCAGGTAATGGAGGAGCCTCCTGCACCCCACAGCAGAGCAGAAACCACAGGGCCTCGTTTACAACCACGACCTGCTCGAGCAGCATTGCCACGCATCCCCTGTTCCCACCACGGTGCCAGCGCCTTCCCTTTGCCACAGCCACAATCCTCTCTCTCTGAAGCCCAGCTGGGAAGGATCTGGGGACTCCTCAGTGCTGCTCCAGCCCTGAGTTTTCTCCTGGCTCCCACATCCTCTCTTCTCCTGAACGCTCTCACGTTGATTCCTGCCTTTCATCTCTTTGTTCAAAGCCCGGTGCCTTCGTTGCAGCTTGCACACAACAGGTCTTCCATCAAACACGCTGTGTTTTACTTATTCCTGTTGGCAGGTATCTCGATGTCCAAGTTTCCTTTCTTGCTCCTCACTCAAAATTAGATAAAACTGTGCTAAAAATGAAGCTCTTCCAGACTTTTCCACCACAATGAAAACTTTCTGCCTTTATTTTTCCTTAAGGAAGGCCACAGGCAAAAGCTTCTCCAGGATGCTTCTGACGCCTTGAAGGGACTGTGCCACTGCGAGCCCTGTGGCTCCTGCTCACCCCAATCCCCATCTGGTGTGTGTGGAGTGAGGGGGGGAACAGGGATTAGCCAACTGTTATTTTTAAGCACTAGGCTAAGAGGATCTCTGAGGTGATGGAGGAAGCATCATGTGCTGCTGACTGCCTTGGGGTGAAATCCAAGGGAGCACTCCTCTCCTTCTGCTGCCCATCCAACCCTGGTACCTTGTGGGAGATGAAGGATGCTCTGTGGACCGAATCCTTCCTGTGTCCCACAGCCCCTGCCCTGCATGTGGGCTCTCTGTAACACCTCATCCCCATTTAACAAGTCATCTCCAGAAAGGACCACAACAAGCTTTGATTTTGGACAAATCCAGCAACAGGTTGCAGATGGGTTCTGCCTGGGGGGACTGAGGTAGGGAAGCAGCCCCTTCTCTGCTGTCTAACCCTGAAAGAACCTCTGCACTACTGCTGTGGGCAAAGGCATGGTTGTCCTCATGCTTTGGGGGGGGGTACAGCCTTTAGCCTGGCTCCATCTTCCCATGGTGCTGTCCTCCACATGCCAGCAGGGAGAGAAGGGTTTGAATTCTCTGTTTTCACAACTGGATGATGTGCAGAAGGTACCTCCTGCATCTCCCCACAGCAGAAGTGGTTAGGAAGCAGCTGTAGGATCAAAATGGGGTTTGAGCACAGTTTTTGGAAGTGCAAGCATGGATTGGCCATATGGGACACCTGGAAGGAGAGGAGCTGGTGGCTTAGGGGGTGGAAGGGAGGTCTCCTGCTCTTACCCAGCCCAGCATCCTTCAGAGATGCTCCTGCCTGGAGCAAGCAAGAAACACCATCGCTGCTTCTTTCCATTCGAGTTTCCCTCTGGTATCTGCCTCTAACAGGACCACTGGGATTCTGGTGATGGCAGCAGCTGAACTCAGTGTCCCCAGGAGCTGCACGAGCCTGTGGGACCCTCTGCAGCCATGAAAACATCCCCAACGCAGTCAGAGGGAGCTGGGAGCAAAGCATGTCCTCAGTGCAAACCCGAGTACCCCCAGCACCACGCTGAGCCCCATCTGGCTGTGCAGCACACAGCACTGCATGATCCAGCTCATCCTTGGCCACCCGCTGTGCTGGAGGTCTGTGGGTGACTGATGTCCCTACATCACCCACCAGCTCCCTCCTAAAGGCCACATCTGATCCCCCAGCAGCGTGCATGGCCGAGTGCCCTCTGACCCGTGCTTAGCAGTCCTCAGGTTTCCCCCTACACAGGTAATGCCGTGAGGTTTCTCAGCGCTCCTGGGCTTTTCAGACCAGTCCCTGCTGCTGGAAAACCTCACCAGGTATTTCACGGAGCAGGGAGAAGGATCTACCACCGGTGCACTGCATTGGAGCCCCCAAGTCTACCCCGAGGGGGCTTCTCGGGTGATGCAGGACCCTGGGAAACCCTCGTCCTTCCATAGAGGGTCTGTCCCCAGGGTCCTGGTCCCCCAGCAGCGGGAGAGCAACAGCGAAGTTAGACCCAGCGAAAGGCAGCGACAGCTCTCAAGGATGCTCAGAATCCCTTAGGGATGCAGAACAGCAGGTACCTTTCTCCCAGAAGAGCATCCCGCACCTGCCCTGTGCTTTGGGGCTCTCAGCAGCTTTTGAAGGTCCTTTTGGGCTCCATCCCCCGCTGGAACCGAGCTCGGGCAAGGGGGCTGGGGCTGTCCTGGGGCTCCGCAAGCACCCGGGGGTCGGGGACCGCCGCACCGACGGCTTTACCTGGCGTAGCGCGTCTTCTGGAAATCCAGGAGCCGGGACACGAACATCGCGGCGGTGCCATGGGGGGTCCCGGCGGCTGGGAAGAGCCGCCCGAGGGGGGAACCGAACCAACTCCACCGCGGGGCGAGCGGGAGAAGGGGCGGCCGGTCTGGTCCAGCCCGGCCCCGGCCCCCTCCCGATTCCCCCCGGCTGCTCGGGAGAGCGACTCGGGGAAAACAAAGGCGACCTCCGGGAGGGGGGAGCCAGCCCCGCTGCCGCCCTCGGATGTGCAAAGAGGAGGAGGCGGCAGCGGGGGGGGGGGGATCCCGTCCAACTCTGCCCGGCCACAGCAACCTGCCCGCTCTCCCTCAGCCGCCACGGCAGCTTTAAGCACAGCTAAAAATACTCCCCCCTCCCCGCCGCCAACCCCCGGCGGATCAAATAGCAGCAGATTTGAATTGAAAATGTGATTAAAGCATCGCGGAGCTGGGGGGGGAGGAAGCGGCGAGTGCGGGCAAGCAGCCCCCCCTCCATCCCTTCCATGGCTGGGTCCCCCGGGATGGGTACCAAGACATCGCTTGCCTGCCCCAGGGCAGGGCTCCCCAGGGAGCTGGTTGGGTCGGCTTGGCTTTTCTTGATTTGATTTTAATTGGTTTTGTGTTTTCTCTATTATTTTCCAGAGGCCCCGGCAGGGTGGGTGGTTCTGTCCCAGCCCCATCGCTGTGGGGTGTCCATGGGTGGGGATGCAATTCCCTGCTTAGGAGAAGGGGGGCAAAGCAAGGCAAGGGCTGAAGAGCCCAGAATCCTCACCCCATCTCTACCCTAAGCCTTCACTGCTCCATCCTCTCCATCACCCAGGGAAGCTTTCAAAGGAGGTGATGTCCCAACGTACATCTGAGGTTGGGCAGCTTAGAAAGGGGATTCAAAAGGTAATGGGGGCTCATACGGGCATCATCCATGCCCACTGTGTGCCAGAGATTGCAGGCACCTTCAGGTCTAAGCATCTAAGGGACAAAAAAGGTGACATAAGGTCAGCAGCAAGTGGAGGAGGAGATTCCTGCTTCCCCCCAGCTCAACCTCTCCTTGCTGATGCTGTAATGATGAGAGAAAGGTGGAGCAGATGAGGACATCTCAACATGAAGGGTTATGCTTGTATGGCCGTTTCCATGGGAAATAAAGTACACTCAACTCTTCCAAAAGCCAAAAGAGACAAAAATTAAAGAATCCCTTAATTCAAGGCATGAATTAATCCTTGGACCCTCTCCAAGGCCATCCGAAAGCAGCTCATGCCCCCAGGGATGCAAAAGGGGTGATGCTCCAGCTGCACTGTGGGGTGTCCACAACGCACACAAGAAGCACTCTAGTTCTCCAGTGCTGGGAGCCTTCCTGCACACTTCCCATCATGGATGGAAGACCCTGTTGGAGATCATGCTGGTGACAGCAGGATCCAGGAGGTGCAAGGGGGAACAAAATAAGGCCCATCTTCAGGAGGACCTTCTCAGCATATCTGAGACAGCCAATCTCTGGTTGAGAGCAGCAGGTCCAGGCTGAGATGCAGAGTGAGATCATCTCTGAAAACCTCTCCCACGTCCTGCCACTTAGCTGAGAAGGTATTTGTCAAGCTCCTTCCCCAACCTGCTCGATGATGAGGCATTGGCAAAGGCTGTTTCATGATGCCTGTGCCTGCTTTACCTTTTCTCTGGGCCTCAATAGGGGAAGGAAAGAAAACAGCGATAAACTGCATTGAACAAAACAGCCCCCCATCCCCAAAGCCCCCAGGCTGCAGCCAGGGGTGCTGGCAATGGGCACCTGAAGTGAACCATCAGTCCTGAAATAGAGCTGTCTCAGAGGGCAAAAGGCAAATGGAATGAAAAATAAGTTACTATTTTTGAAGCCTGAATCCAGTTGTTATGGCAACCAAAGCCTCCCGCATGGTGCTGGGGAACGGCTCCAGCCGCGGCGCTGCCTCCAAACCTGGCAGGCGGAGGATGGTGGGATGCAGAGATGTCCATGCTCGCATCACCTATGCCCCATTGGGACACGTACCCTTTCTCATGGCAGCTCCTCTCATGTATTGCTGCCCATAAGAGCACCTTGGTTTTCTTTCCTCCCCCATCCCTGGTGCTCTCCCCATCTTCTGGCAAAGATCTGAGTAATTATAATGATATTAAGGAGCGTTTCCAATACTCAGGAATACACTGAATGCATTGACCTTTTATTAATGTCTCCAAACCAGAGTTTTCCTCTAGAGGAGGAATGGGTCATGAAGGCCAGGGCTGCTTCCTCCCCAAACTGTGCAGATCCCAGACCATGCAGGAATCCCATAGCGGAGACATGTCTGTGTGTGGGTCCCAGCACCTTTGGGTGCTACAACAGTAGTGTTGGACTCTGGCAGGGCACGGTGTAACTGCATTTCCCTGTGTGAGAGGCTTTACATGAGTAATAGGAGTCACAGGGCACATGGGTGGGTTGGTAGCAGCTGGAGGCAGAGGTGAGCAATGTGGGTGCCAGGGCTGGGATAACTTTTCAGGGCCAAGTCCTTGATTTTGTTCCACTTTCCAGACATTCCCTGTTCAGTTGCCTTATTTTGCCTGTAATTTATGTTCTTTCCTGACTAGCTGCTCCCTGTATCTCAGCCCGTGACTCCCCTTGCTCTGACATGGTCTCCTGCCCTGTCCTGCAGGCTGGGGACCCGCAGAGCATCTTCACCCGAGGGCACAAAGCCACTGCCCTCCGCAGCGTGCCCAGGAGCAGAGCTCGCTGCCCCGTCTGCTGCGCCGTGGGGACCTCGGGTGGCACGAAGCAGCACTGCAGAGGCGCCGGCAGCGAGGAACCGTGCTGTTTGACCACGGAGGGTCCGCGGGGACCGCGACACTGTCACGGCCATCCCGGGTGTGGACAGCGGGGACAAGCCCGTGTTGGGGCGTGACTATGAGTCTCCCATCCAGCCCCCGACCCCTGCGGGCCCTGCTTAGCTTCAGAACGATGCTCCACCCCTTCCCCCCCCCCTCCACCGCTCCCAACCAAGTTGCGCGCCACCACCCGAGCGCATGCGCATCCCTTCCCACACCTGCAGGGCGGGGCGGCAGTACGGTGGCCGGCTGGGGCCATCGGGGCGGCACTGCACATGCGCAAGGGTCGCTTCGCCCGCCTGCCCACAGCGTAAACAAGGGGCCGGCGGGGATGAAGAGGCCGCGGGGCTGCGGCGGGGCCTGGGGCCGCCGGGGTTGAGGGTCCGCTGCCTGGTGGAGGCGTTCCCCCCCCGCCGGACGGGGGTGGCGAGGGCCGGCCCGCCATGAACTTGGCCAGTCAGAGCGGCGAGGCCGGCAGCGGCCATCTGCTCTTCGCCAACTTCAACCAGGACAACACGTAAGGGGGCGGCGCCCGGGCCTGAGGTGGAGGGGGAACCCGGCCCTGAGGGGGAGCGAGTCCTGGTGGGGTCCCCCTCTCTGGTGCTTCCCCTTCCAGCAGCCTCTGCCGTCGCCGCCTCAGAGCGGGTCCCGCTGTAGCGAGGAGGGGTAGCGGCAGCAGCAGTCCCCCTCGTCCCTGGGTGTGGAGCTGAGGGGTGCGAGGCGGCGCTCGCAGAGGGGTAATTGGCTGCCGGAGCATGTTGCCTTTTCCTTGCTCTTTCTTCTTGTGCGTGAGAGGCATTGCTCGCTGTTGCTTTGGGAAGGGAGGGAGGGAGGGCTGATTCTCCTTAATGGTGCCCAAGCTTTTAGAAGGACCCAGGCATTAAGACCCAAGTCTTCCAGGAGGTGCAGAGATTTCATCTGAAGGCTTATTATAGTTGTCTTTTCGTACAGCTTATTTTATTTTCTCCTGTTGTCTGTGTTGATGCGGTATAGAATCATAGCATGATTTGGGTTGAAGGGACTTTAAAGCTCATCCAGTCCCAACCCCATCCCACGGGCAGGGACACCTTCCACTAGAGCAGGTTGCTCCAAGCCCCTATCCAGCCTGGCCTTGAACACTGCCAGGAATGGGGTATGTTTAAAAGTATTTTTATGAGCCTGTGCTTGTTTTGGCTTTGAAAAAGAAGCTCTTCTCCTGTAGTCCTTGAAATTGTGCTTGTGTTTCAGCTCATTTATGCTGCACGTCTTGGAAGTCATTTAACTGTAGCGGCGTATTTAGCTTAATTAGTACGTTAATTTTAAATGAGGTATTAAAACTCATTGCTTTTCAGTTCAAGAAATCACTTATAGTTGGAACTGGAGCCCTGAAGATCCTTTAAAGAAGGATTTGACCATTTTAAATACCTGAGAGATGAAACTGGGGGTCAATAACCGAAAGAACTTGTACTTGAGAAAGGAGGAGTTTTGTTTTAGGAAGTGAGTAAGAGGAAATGATCTCAGGTTGGCATCACAGAGCATAATCCATGTGTGTGGTGGTGGTTTCTTCTTTTAACAACTCATTGGCTTTACGAGAAGCGATATCTTGTCCTCACAAGAGAGATCTCTTGACTGTCTTCAGGATGTACTGTGTTATATGGGGATTGAGGTGAGAAGGTTGGTTGTGGTGGCTGCCAAGATCGAGGAGGAAGGTCACATCACAGAAGGAAATATTCTGTTTGCTTTTGTAGGTTTTGTTGAGGTGAAGAGATGAACAAGTGGAGCTGGATAGACTTGAGACAAGACACTTTAACAGTAAATAACTTATGATAAAGGATGGGGGGGAAGCAGTAGTCTTGTGTGTGTTTGTAAGTAAACCATTATCCATATATTGATTCCAGCCAAAGACTTCTGCAACTACTTTTGAGGTTTCCTCATCAAGTACCATATAGAGGTCACTCTGCCATTGTGCATATAAAACAAGCCCATGTTTTGCTTAGATACCATCCATTTTTTACCTGTTACTAGCTAAAACAAGTCATAAAACGAGGAAATCTCTCACCTTTCTGTTGCAGTTCATGAAAGTTATTATAGGAGGTTTTGAAGTTCAAATGTGCTGTCCAACACTGTGATCTGAAAGTTTGAGTATTTCTCCTTCTCTAAAGCAGTTGCCTATTTGCAGTTGCCCCTTAGCTTTGTGGAGAGCTGTGTATATTGAAAGATCACTGAGTTGTGACAAAAGAACCCCAAGTACTTCTATAGAGCAGGAGAGCTGCAGGCTTGACTTGAGAACAAGCCCGAGACAGAAGTAAAAAGAAAGTAAATGTAATAAGTTTATTTGTATAAGCTCTTTGGCTTGTACAGCTTGAAATCCTTCCTCAAGGACAAGTGTGATTGCTTTTTAAGGGAGGGGGAAAGGAACAACTGGATAATGATTTCTTTCCTCAACTTTGTATGTTACTTTTTCCATTTAATTTTTGTAAATATCCAAGAGTATTCTTTGATTTCTGTGCTGCAGCTGATTATTTTATTTATTCAGCATTCGCATGCCCATTGTGCAGGCAGATCTTATTAAATATTATTTGTATATGTAAATAACTTGGTGATTAGCTGATGAGAGTTTTGGTGCTGTCTCTTTATGTGATCCAGACCT